TATGTATATATAGTACAACATCCTTGTCCAAATGCACAGCAGCTATAGTCATTCGATGTTCATCCGGAGTATCATAGAAATCAAAAAATTGTTCAGCCTTAAAAATCCATGACAACACTTCCGTACCATCGAACCGAGGAAAGTCAATTTTAACGTTCCTTACCTGAAACGGTGGTTTGGTCCATTGAGGATGAGCAATTGTGTTGGTTGGAGATCCGGTAGTCAGAGCCTGAAGCATCTCTTTCAGCTCATGAAGTGCAGCAGTTTGTTGTTGGCTCTGTAACGAATGCTCAACATCTCGTTGTTTTAAGTACTCTACCGCCTCCTTAAGATCTCTGATATCACCTTGCATTTCTCTCATGCGTGTGTTTTCTGCCATTGCAGACGATGATGAAAGCACCAAATGAAACAAGTGCAATTACTACAGCATAGAAAATTGAATGAAACAGTAATTTTGGAAAACTCAGGGAAGTACGTTGTATTATTAATGAGGATGCTTGTCAGACAGTATAAGAAATAAGTACCAAGAGGTACTCTGAAGGGGGATGAGGGACAGAGAGAATAAGATGAGAGAGAGAATTCAATGCAACAATCATCACTACTCTTATTCATCCTGAGAGATTCTTTAAAAGGAAAATCACTGGCCCATCACGTATCCCCTTAGGCGCACATTCTCACGTTTCATTCGGTCACTTTTCCTGGGGTGCATGATCCAAGGAAATTGCTCCACGTGTCCTTCTTGCATAACCGAATTTGTCTTCATCTGATTGCCAATCATTTGCTCATTCATTCCATTTTCTGTTGAGCCATGTGGACCTTGACTCTCATTTCCTTCTCTTGGCCAATGTGGGCTTGTTACATGATCTCCCATAAACTTTTGTTTTCCTTCCCGTTCTTCGGAACCTACACGCAAGAGTAAAAAGAGAAGGGTGATATGAAAAATTGATGTAATCCCTCTTTTAAAAATTTAACTCCTCACTAACGTTAAAATATTTTAACCTCAATTACAAATCCTTTCCTTACTTAATAAAATAAATAAATTATTTAATTATAAAACTATGATATATCCATATACAAAAAATAAATAAAAAATTAAACAATAATTAAAACTAACCCAAATGATTATAACAAAATACAATAATTAATAATTAATTAATATAATATATAAAATAATTATATGTATTATATATATATATATATATATATTTCTCCCAACACAATTATAATTAAAATAAAATACATAAACAATAAAAATTATAATAAAAACACGTATTTTTCTTTAAATACTTATTATAAACAAATATCATTAATTACATATTTCTCTAATAAATATTATCTAAAATAATTTTTACAAATATTTATTATTTAATTGAAATACTCATAATTGTTTAAAGCCTCTAAAATATCTTATAAAATCTTTTAATTAATCAAAATATCATTTTAATAATTTTAGAAAACTTGGGGTGTTACAATATCATCATCACAAGTGCAATCACATAACTTTATCACAAACATAAGTTATTCGATAACACACCATATTATCATCATTACATTCTCATATCACACATTATGATTATCTCACATCTCATCACTCAACAATGTCTCAAATGTTGTACACAATATTATCAAGTCAAACATCAACATTTTATATTACATCATGCATAATCATCTCATATCACATATAAAGTTTTCATGGCACACAAAACATTTCATGTCATGCACATCACAAACAAGCACCTCCTATTCCACACAGGCACAAAAACTCAAGAACAAGGTCTTACAAACCTAATTTCGTACTTTCTTCATAACCTTCTTATAACTTATTCACAAATATCCCCTCTCATACTTTCTCTTAACTATTGATATAAGTATCTCAAATCATTTCCAAGATTAAAAAATTTTATGAATTAAATTATATTTTAATTAAATGTATAATTTAAACTTTGTTGCTTAATTATTGTTATAAATTAAATTATTAAATTATTTAAATAATTAATTTGTATTTATAATATTTATAAAAATTAAACATTTAAATTTAATTTATATATATATAATTATTTCTTTGTTATAAAAAATGTAAAAAAAAATGCAATGACGCGAGTACGAGGATGGGAGTGAGCGAGGAGTTACATACTTGAACTTGTACTTGAATCCGATCAAAGCGAGTTTTTCTCATCAAAATTGAGTTGGGGTCAGATGAATATCCATATGTGCTAGTTTAGTTGTCATGTCTATCTGATCCTATACAAACACAAAGTCTTACAACAAACATTATTTTGTACCTTTATCATAACACACTTATAACTCATAAACAAATATCCCCTTTCATACTTTATCTTTCTCAACTATTGATATAAGTAACTCAAGTCATTCCCAAGATTAAACACTTAAAGGATAAAACAACACATCATTATAACTCACAAACTATCTCTTTTTATCTTAATCATGTGCGACATTGTGGGATCTAAACGCAATACTTGAAGTTATACTTATGGTATCAAGTTGATCTAAATTTTATTGGAAAGATAAGAACATTATGTACAAATTCTATGTTGACTTTAAGAGTTTATTTTACCATTTACTATTTTTAAAAATTACATAATCACATCATTTAAGCCTAAATCTGACAATTTAACCTTCTATCTCTAATTTAATCATAACTTGAGTTCCAGACATTCTTTTTGGATGATTTTAGTGCCATTGGAAAGCTAATATCCGAGGATTCAATTCTTATGAAGATGTTAAAAGCTAATTTGGCCATTTAAGTCACCTTGCAAGGCTTACAAGATACATATGTTACATTTCACACACGAAGCATGAGGTTCATCTTCTAACCTCAGTCATTTCTTAACATTTTTATATAATTCTTGAGTCTAAATTATAACCCTAAATGTCAATTTTCCAACTATTAAACATAATTATATTTGATTAATCACATAGAGAGATATTACGTAAATACTAAGGTATATTCATACAAAAAATATTAGATAATAAAACATAAGTCACACCCAAACTCAATTCTCCCAATCTAATGGATTAAAAACATAATTAATGCCTAAACACACTTTGATATCATCAATTAATCAAAAAGACATAATCAATTTCACAAAACTCTCTCGATTTTGTCGATCTTTATCTTATTCTATAAATTAAGGTTTTTTATTTATTTATAAGAATTACAAGATTTCATATATTCACAATTAACCCAAATAATTTGCAATTCACAACATATATAACTAAAAGATTAACCATAGAGCACATATGAATTTGGGTTTTCCCCATAGAGTACAAAAGACAAACAATGAGATTGGGGTCAATCTTGCTTCTTAACATAGATACTCATCCTAAAGAGAGAACTATTACTTTTCCCTCACCTCGATTAACACTTAATGATGAACATGAATCTCTAGGATGCACTCCTATGACCTTTGCATTCTCCTCTCCGAGTTTTTGGATTTAAAAGAAAAGAAAGTGTAAATGGATTAGCTTTTCTCAAAACCCCCCTATTTAAACCAATTTTCCTCATTTAATTAAATTAAAAATTTATAAAATAAAATTCATTAAAAATCACAATAAAAACACATATTTTCTCTAAACAAATATATATAATAAAATATAATTTCACAAACCTTTCTTGTTTAATAAAAACATTGATAATTATTTTAAAAGTCTCTAATTTATTTTATAAAACTCTTTTAATTAATCACAACATCATTTTAATAATTTTATGAAAACTTAGGATATTACAAATTTCCCTTACTAAAAAAATTTATCCTTGAAATGTTACTCATAAAGGAAATGATGGATAGAAGAAAACACACGAATATAATTTTTGAGTAGGGTGACATGAAACAACATTAAAAATGTCTAATAAAGAAAGAAACAAGACTATTTATAAATAACTTTGTTAACATATTTTTTTTCAAGTATAGGCAAGGATCAATTAATGAACATGGAGCAAGCTTGCAAGATTATAAAATCAACCAATTCTAGTTTAGGAGTTTCTTGCAAGAATGCAAGATCTCCTTCACCAAGCTCAATCTCTTTCCTCTTTATATGGTATCTCTTTTGTCTTCTTAAAAAAGTCTCTCATCTTTTCTTAGTTTAGTCTAACATTTTTATAAGTTTGTTGCACTTTTTCAAGTCTCAATACAAGGTTCTCTCAAAGTTCTAACAAGCTCAAATGAATTCCAAGGTTTTGTTGTGCACTATGATTATCTTGGAGTCTTAGAATTTCACTTATATACTATCTCAATGCCATTCTCCTACCTTGATTCAATTCTAAATTGAAGTTAACAACATGAGTCCAAACTTTTGCCTTTATTAATCTCATCTATCAATCTTTAAGCTTTCTTTAGCGTGCCCCACTTAGGATGCTTTAAAGGTTACTTACATATCAACTAAGATTTCAAATCTTATCCTAAAAGTTAAACTCTCTAGTCATCATGTTAGCCACATTAAGGATTTTCCTACTGGTAGTGGTTTTTATTGTTTAGAGAACATTCTTACCTTTATTTGACCTCAGATGTTGAGTGAAGAAAATATTCGATGCAACTGAACATGAAAGTTGATATGAATGGACATTAGAATGAGTCTTCTATTCTAATCAACCAAACTAATGCACTCCTTATTTTCTAAACATATAATAAGAGTGAAAACTTGTTGAACAAAATTTGACCATAAAATGTGATACCTATCAATAAATTATATTATTAATATTATATTTATTTTATAATACTTTTTACAGTATTATATTTTAAATTTAACGATATTATGTAATGTATTACACACAAAACTTATTTTTGTCACATTCAACGGTTATTTTTAGTGATAATTCATTCTCTTATGAAAGTAAACTTTCATATTTATTTAATAAGAAAAATAAAATTAAAAATTAGTTATTAAATTATCACATTCTTATAATCTGTGAAAATCTAAGACTTTTTATTTATTGGTTAAATAGCTTTTAAAATCCTAATTCAACAAACATAAACCCGAGTATAAATGAAGACCGCTTACAAGCGGTGTTCATGCTCTCTCTCTCTTACTCTGCCTCAGTCCAAGTGTAAGAGAAAGGTCGTGTAAAGGATAAGCTGAAAAATCATGGCCTCTCTCTGTTCCTTCACCGCTTCTTCTTTCTCTTCTCAGTGCCACAATCTTTCCCTTTCTCACCCTCTCAAGCTATCGTTGCCTCTCACCAACTCCTTCACACTTCCAAGGAACATGAAGAAGAAGAAGAAGAAGAAGAACGGTGCGAGAGCGAGGCCTCTGTTTTGCGCACTCAAAAACGCCGCGTTGCAGTACAGGAACCTCGGCGACTCCGACCTCAACATCAGCGAAATCACTTTTGGTACTGTAAGTTATGTTTTTCTTTTTCATTCCTTTCCGCACAAAACGACGACGTTGCTGTTCTTATTATCGGTTGTTTCTCTCATTTGCGTTCTGGTTGGTTTCAGATGACCTTTGGGGAGCAAAACACGGAGAAAGAAGCTCACGACATTCTTCATTACGCTTTTGACCGTGGCATCAACGCTCTCGATACTTCTGAGGCCGTAAGTTCTTCCAATCTTAAATCTGCATTTGCCATGCATGCTGAAATCTTGCTGAAATGTTTAGTTTTTTTTTTCTTCTTTCAATTATTTAGATAATAATCGTTTTCGTGTGTGTGCATGGTGATGTATCTGCGGAGAGCTTGAGGCGAGATGAGTGGATTTTTTCAATACAATCATATGCTCATGCACAATATTATTTTAATTAAAGTTTTTAATTTTAAGTTTTAACAGTCCATTTCGACTATGTGGTTGAGATTCGATCCTTTTATATATATATGGGCGTGTGAATCATACTGAGAGCGTGAGAGGAGTGAGTCTCGACCAAGTAATTCAAATGGATTGTTAAAATTTAAACAGTGCTGACTTTTTAAAATCACTCATAGGAGAAAAATAAAACGGAAAAATGAAACAAAAAAAATTATCTTCAAAAGCTAAAATTAGCTTATGGATAAGTTAATTTATGGAAGTAAGTTCTCTCATTGCTTCTTCAAAATGTGTTTTTTGCATAAGTTAATTGTAGCTTATGAAGAAGTTTATTTTATTTTTCTTCTCTTACAAATGCTTACAGTGAATTTTATCTGAATAAGCATGTATGATAGTATAGCAGAGATTAACTTCTCTCACCTCTCACATTATATATAGAGGGAAAGGTGTGCTATGAATGCACAATGCACTCTTGAACACACTTCTTCTGACACACTCTCTTTTATCTCCTTTATTGGGCTAAATTTATTGATAAATCCAAAATCACAATTAAGGTTTGATTAAATAAGGAACGAGACTCAGCCACACAATTCAGTGATTTTTAACAAATTTCAACTAATAGTATAGTGTATTAAAAGAGTGTGTTGCTAGTATTTCTCCTACACACACATATTATTTTGTTGTGTAAAAATCCAGTCATTATCGTTGCAATTTTATAATGAACGGTTGGTTTTTGATTGCAGTACCCAATTCCAATGAAGAAAGAGACACAAGGAAGAACCGATCTCTATATTGGTAGCTGGCTTAAGTCTCAACCTCGTGACAAGGTATTGGGTGCTCACTTTACAACTATGTCTATGCTTACTTTTCTACATGTTTTGGACACATGGTTAGTTAATAGTTAAAGGTTAAAAGTAATAATACATGATTACTTTCAATAATTCAATGTGAAATTATGCTACAAAAGTTCAATTGTCTTGCATATAAGCCTATGGAATTTATGGTAAGTTGTTTTCTGCATTGAATAAAAAAATGCTCATTAAATTAAAATTTAATTTGGCTTGTTTTTGCAATATATGATGATGGGTTGACCATGAGATTTGGCTTTCAAGTGTTTTGGATGGTTTTTTACTGAGTTCACTCTTTGTTGAGCCACAAGTTTGAAACTATTTGTGTAACATCTGTGTTGATAGATTATTTTGGCTACCAAAGTATGTGGTTATTCTGAGAGGTCGAGTTATTTGCGTGAGAATACAAATGTTTTGCGGGTTGATGCTGTAAATATCAGAGAAAGTGTAGAGAAAAGCCTTAAGCGTCTTGGCACTGATTATATTGATTTGCTGCAAATTCACTGGTGAGTTTATAGAATGTAAAGCATTGATTTCTTGTATTTTTTGTTACTTTATTAATGGTATATGTAATTTGAACTTATTTAAATAGCCATGGGAAACTTGTGTATAGTTTGCATTGTTAAAATGTTATGATTCTTATTGTTTTAGGAATCTTTGTAAGTTGGTACTTGGTAGTGATATTGGGTCAGATTTGTACTAGTTTTACCACACTTGTACTTGACCTAAAATGTGATCTTGATTATTAATACAAACAGGAGTGTTATACATTCTGAATATTTACCTGATGTGCAAGCAGACAAATCGCAAACATTCTCCCATTTCTTTCTTGAGGCAGAGGACTAAAGTGTTTGAACTATTTTCTAAATATATGTTGTGCTTCATTATAGGCCAGATCGATATGTTCCATTGTTTGGTGAGTTTTCCTATGATCCTTCAAAATGGAGGTCAAGTGTGCCGTTTGTTGAGCAGTTGCAAGCTTTTCAAGAACTTATCAATGAAGGAAAGGTGACCAATTTCTTTCAATTTACTTTATGGTTAAGCTTTTTCTAGATTTCTAAAGAGTTCTAATGATTTATGTTGGTTTTGGCTTGGAGAAACTGAGCAGGGTTTTGTATTTGCTAAATATTTTTATTCCAACTGAAGTTATTGATATTTACTATTATGCTTGTAATTTCTAACTTTCTTTTGCTAAGTTTTAGTGCATGCTTGATGGAGAAATGCAGTTTGGGAGTGGTAGAATAAATTGTTTGTCTCAGTTTTTTTGATTGGACAAGAGGGATGAGATGGCCGTACCACTTTTATAGATTACTTTGCTTTGTCATGTGGCAAGTGTCTCATATCATATTACAAGCCTGTAAATGGAAACAAACTATTTTATTTCTCTCAATAGTCAGCATAAACCCATAACCTTCCAGTCCAATCAAGCTAGGATTGACTGTCTCCTCTCTTTACTTTTTCATGACATTTGTGGCAATTGTAATGTGAAATTCGAATATTCTGATCACAATATCATGTTTACTCTCTTATGCATAGATTCAGTTTCTTGAGATTTCTATGTGCATCAGGTACGCTACATAGGTGTTTCAAATGAGACTTCATATGGAGTGATGGAGTTTGTCCATGCAGCTAAGGTTGGAGGCCTTCCAAAGATTGTCAGTATCCAAAACAGCTACAGCTTGCTTGTTAGATCTCGTTTTGAAGGTGGGATGCTGGCATTACTCAAGTTCCATTCATTTCACTTAATATTTTTCTTCCTTTGTGATACAAAGTTGTTTCTCCTATATAATTTAAGATTTTTGAAATAGCTGTGTGTAAGGCTATCTGAAGAACTTAAACAACGAGGAGCAAAAATGATGAACAAAATACCTCTGTGTTCTTTTATGATATAGTGGAGTGAAAATTTCTTATATCATGGAATGAAAGCTAGTATCGTAATAGTGCAACAAAAATATAGAGAATAAGCAAAAGAGAAAGTTCCCCTCAAGGTCAAGAGAGAGAGTAGACTCTAACAACAATATTCCCCCCTTTCTCTCTCCAAAACTGAATTCTTATACTGCTGTCTAGCTCAACACGTATTCCTTGAGCCTCGAGTTGGTTATTTTGGGCCTAGTGCTTTGCCTCCTTCCCTGATCATAAGGATCTTCAGCCACCTGTCCTTCTCCTTCTATTTTTTTGCTATTTCCTCGTTTGCCCCTTCAATATGTGCACTTGTTACAATTCTTCCCCCATTAAAGTCAACCTTGTCCTCAAGGTTGAAGGCAGGGTAAGGTTGTTGCAATGCAGAATGATATTCCCAAGTAGCTTGAGTCTCATCTAAGCCTTCCCATAAGACCAAATGTTGTGGCATGTGTTGGTGGCCTCGCAAGATGACTCTAGAATTCAGAATTCTTGCAGGTTGCATAACTGGAGCAATATCTGTAGCAGTAATAGGAAGTGGCACATAAGGAGTAGAATGATCTCCCTTGCACAATTTCAGCTGAGACACATGGAACACTGGATGTATTTTAGTATTAGGAGGTAGTAGTAACCGATAAGCAACCTTACCCAGCCTGGCAGTGATAGGAAAAGGACCAAAGTATCTCAAACTCAGTTTTTGGTTCTTTCTCAAGTCTACCGAATGCTGCCTATAAGATTGTAATTTTACAAGCACCTTGTCACCAACATTAAACTCTATTGTTTTCCTCTTCTGATCTGCATATTTGCGCATGTGCTGTTGGGCCTTCTGCAAATTCAATTTCAACTTACTCAAAATAACATGGCGTTCCAACAATTGATCTTGAACTGAAATGTGATCCTTGCTATCCGGAACATACTTGACTAGAACAGGGGGATCTCTACCATAGACCACCTTGAAAGGTGTCATTCCCCTACTATGATGGTAGGAAGTATTGTACCAATACTCAGCCCATGGCAATAATTTGGCCCAATCTTTAGGAGCATCATAAGTAAAACATCTCAAATACATCTCTAAACACTTATTCAATGCTTCAGACTGGCAGTCTGAGGATGGTAGGCAATGCTCATGTTTAAGGTTGTGCCACTCAACTTGAACAAGTGTTGCCAAAACTGACTAGTGAACACCTTATCTCTATCTGTCACAATCGTTTTGGGAAACCCATGTAATTTTACAATAGCTTTCATGAAGATTTCAGCCACATGTTTGTTGGAGTAATCAGTTTTAAAGGTAAAAAAATGTGCATACTTGGATAATCTATCAATTACCACTAATATCATTGTGTAACCATTGGAAAGAGGGAGACCTGTGATAAAATCCATAGCCAAGTCTTCCCATATTTGATCAGGAACACGGAGAGGCTGTAGCAACCCATAAGGTAGTATATTATCAATTTTTGCCTGTTGGCATACCAAACAATCCTGTACATATTGTTTGATATCCGTATGCATACCATGCCAATAGAATTGGGCGGCGATCTGAGTCAGCGTTCTAGCAACTCCAGCATGTCCCCTGATCAAGGAAGTATGAAACTCATGGAGAACCTGCTACACTAAGGTATGACCAGAGGGAATAACTAGTCTACCTTTCCAAAACAACAATTGATCCTTATCCGTATAATTAGGATGAGGTGGCTGATTGTTCCTGCATAATTCCATGATAGCCTTGAGTTTAGAGTCAGCACCTAATGCTTCTCTTATCATAGGAATAATTTGTAGTTTTGGGCAAGACCAAGCTGAATAAAATGATCTTGACAAGGAATCAGCAGCTACATTATCCTTGTCAGGCTTGTACTCAACTGTAAAATCATATCCCAACAATTTGTGCAGCCAATTTTGTTGCTCAGGTGTTTGGATTGCCTGGTCAGTTAAACTCCTTAAACTTCGTTGATCAGTGCGACTCACAAACTTGTGACCAAGTAGATAATGACAAAATTTAGCAATAGCCTCCGTGATAGCATAGAATTCGCGGGCATAAGCAGATTGCTTCTACATTCTAGGAGTCAACTTCTTAGAGAAATAAGCAATAGGATGATGATTTTGGCTCAAAACAGCACCTACTCCCAAAGTGGATGCATCAATCTCCAAGATAAATGGTTGGGAAAAATTAGGAAGAGCAAGGACTGGAGCTTGGATGATTGCTGCTTTCAAACCGGGTGCTTCAGTCTCCAATGAAAGCTCTCTTTCTTCAACATGTTTGTTAAGGGGCCACCTATGGTAGCATAATCCTTGATAAATCTTCTATAATATCCAGTAAGACCCAAGAATCCTCTCAGCTACTTGAGATTCAAGGGTAGAGGCCAATTTAATACTGCTTGTATTAGTCTTTCACCATGGCGACACCTACGCTCGAAATAGTGTGCCCTGAATAATCCACTCGCTGCAATCCAAACGAACATTTAAATAGTTTGGCAAAGAGTTTATGCTGTTGCAGTAACTAAAGTACTTCTTCCAAATGAGCCAAATGTAAGGACTAAGAAGGGCTGTATACTAAAATATCATCAAAGAATACCAATACAAATTTCCTCAATATAGTCAGACCTTGAAAAATCTCATTCATTAAAATTTGAAAGGTAGCGGGGGCATTAGTAAAAGCCCAAATGGCATCACCAGCCACTCATAGTGCCCTTGATGAGTTCTAAAAGCTATCTTATGTCTATCCTCTTCCTTAACCAATATTTGATGGTATTCAGATCGCAAATCCAACTTAGAAAAATAATGTGCGCCATGCAATTCATCAATCAATCCATCCATGGTGGGAATAGGAAAACTATACTTAACTATAATGGCATTTAAGGCTCTATAATCGGTGCAAAATTTCCAAGTGCCATCTTTTTTCTTAACAAGTATAATTGGGGAAGAAAAGGGGCTATTGCTAGGAAAAATAATACCTTCTTGCAGCATATCTTGAATCATGGTTTTGATTTGTTGTTTCTGACTATTAGGATATCGGTAAGGCCTCACTTTGACAGGATCAGCACCAGTAACAGAGGAATGGAATGATTTTGAGACTTGTCCAGGGGCAATCCAACAGGAATAGCAAAAACTTCTCTATAAGTATGCAATAACATAGCTAATTCAGGCTTGAGATCAATAGACAAGTCCAACAACTGGTCTTGTGGGCAATGAGGATGCTGAAACTGAAGTGTAAACATTTCAGCTATAGCATGAGTACTCTGCATTCTTCTTAAGTGGTGAAATTGAGCAGGACTAGGAAGATTGAGCTGCTCACCATGCAGGGTCACAAATTGGCTACCCAAATAAAACTTCAGTGATAAACGGCTATAATTAGATATGTGTGATCCCAAAGTGGCTAACCAAGATGCTCCAGCTACTGGTAAGAGATAGTAATTTCAAGGAATGTCCTTGAATTTTAACCTCCAAGTCTTTAACCAATCCTTCTACTACCAAAGAATTTCCATTACCAACCAACACCTGAAAATTAGGAATAGGTTCAATTGGTAATTTGAGACAATGTGCTATTCTTGGTTGAAGAAAATTGTTAGAACTCCCATTGTCCAATAAAATCTGAACCATCACGCCATCAATATACCCTTTAAATTTCGTTATTCCAAGGCCAGAAGAACCTTTTAGAGCATTATAAAATACATGATGCTCTTGCACAACCATAGACTCATGAACCTCAGTATCAGGAGGATCTGGTTGTAAAGCAATATTCTCTTCTTCCTCCACGTGTAAAACTAGATACCGCTTATTAGGACCCTTATGAGTAAGTGAGAACCTTTCATCACATCTATAACAAAGACCTTTCTCTCTGGGTAATTGCATCTCGACGGGAGAAATTTTTTTAACATTGGTAGGTTGGAAGCTACTATTTGGTGGTGTGTATCTAAGGGTAGGTAATAATGGTGGTAGACTAGTGGATTTTAATGTTTGAGAAATGGATGGCTGCACGATGATGCTTGGTGTTTTGGAAACATAGGTCGAGCTATATGATCTGGTCTTGGAAAGATACTTTTCCTCATATAATTTTTCCAAAGAAACTGATCTAATCAAAGTTGTTGGGGATTTGAGCAATCACATCATGTCTAATATCTAGTTTTAAACCCTTGATGAAACAATCTAGGAGTGCCTCGATTGTAATGCCCTGAACGCGATTTGCTAAAGCATTAAATTGCACATAATACTCTTGAACTCAATTAACTTGTGTTAATTTGAATAAATGGGATTGCGGACATTCATACGGAGAAGGTCCAAATTCCAACTCCAACATGCGGGTAAAGGCAGTCCAAGAATGAAAAGGATTAGCACAAAGCATCATCTGGTACCAAGGAACTACCTCCTTATCCAAATGAATGGTAGGCAGCAGCTATGGTCAATCATTGATCATCCGACGCATTATAGTAGCTAAAGAACTGCTCCGCTTTGAAAATCCACTGAAGAACATCAGAACCGTCAAATCATGGAAAATCCAATTTAACATTACGCATCTGGAATGGTTGACGAACTGGAATAGCAGTAGGTGATTCACCCGCGAAAAATCTGTTTAAGCAACATGTCCTTTGTCGTCTCTATCGTCTCAAATCTGAACGCATACTCTGTATTCTTTGACTCCATTAATTCCAAAATACGCTTAACGCCAGCTGACAGCTCCTTCATGCGTGTATTCTCCACCATGAAGCAATGAAAGCACCAATTGTAAGGCTATCTCAAGAATAGAAACAACAAGGAGCAAAAATGATGAACAAAATACCGCTGTATTCTTTTATGATATAGTGGAGTGAAAATTTCTTATATCATGGAATGAAAGCTAGTATTGTAACAGTGCAACAAAAATACAGAGAATAAGCAAAAGAGAAAGTTCCCCTCAAGGCCAAGAGAGAGAGAAGACTCTAACAACAATATTCCCCCCTTTCTCTCTCCAAAATTGAATTCTTATAGGAAAAAATATTAATTTGGTCCCGTATAATATTTTAAATTCTCAATTTAGTCTCACCTTAATTTTTTGTTTCAATTTGGTCTCCAATAAGTTAAATCACTGCAATGTCGGACCTTCGGTCCAAATTTCTTATACGGAGTTAACTGTTGGCTACGTGGATGCCACGTAGATATATAGGTGGCAAGGTGCTACGTAATGCATCTGGAACGGCCCGTTCTGATTGCACTATTTGTGTGTTAATTTTACATCTGGTTTAGATGCAAAATTAACACACAAATAGTGCAACCAGAACGTGATGTTATGGTTTCAGAACGGGCCGTTCCAGTCCTATAACGCCAACTACAAACGGTCAATGATTATAGTTCACGCTCGTGATTCTAAATCACGATTGTGAATTGTTCAAGGAAAAAAAGTCCAAGGTACAAAATATTTCAAACACTGGATTTGGTAATATTGTCAATGGGGGATTGATAACTTCAATTGCTAAACATTTTAGCTATACACCATTTCTAGACCAATTGCAGGATATAGGAACTCCTAGAAGTATTAATTATAATACTTGTTATGCAATGCAATGTATCACTAAGGATACTAAGGACAATGGTGACAGATTTTATTTCATTGTTAGTCAAACTAGAGTGAATTACTTACTACCAAATCGGCACTATACAGTCAAGGATGAAATGACATGGTTTTATTTCCCTCCTCAGTAATTTATTTGAACTTTCTTAGTATATGTTATGTTATGAATTTTTGTTTATAGTCTTTGAACCATATTTCAGTCTTTGAATTTATGTTATATTATGAATTTTTGTTTTCAATCTCTGAACCACATTGTTACATTTTGTTAAACATACGTTGGCTTTCTGGAATGGCCCGTTCTGGTTTCAAAACGGGCCGTTTTGCTTGCACTCGTTGTGTTTAAAATACTGTATCTGGAATGGCCCGTTCCAGATGCAAAATTAACACACAAATAGTGTAACAAGAACGGGCCGTTCTAGTTTCAGAACGGGCCGTTCCAGATGCATTAAAGAAGGAGGAGGAGGAGGACATGAGACCTTGCCACCTATGCATCTACGTGGCATCCACGTGGCCTGTTCTGAAACCAGAACGGCCCGTTTTGCTTGCACTCGTGTTTAAAATATTGCATCTGAAACGGCCCGTTCCATATGCAAAATTAACACACAAATAGTGTAACCTGGGCCGTTCTAGTTTTAGAACGGGCTGTTCCAGATGCATTAAAGAAGGAGGAGGAGGAGGACATGTGACCTTGCCACCTATGCATCTACGTGACCAACAGTTAACTCCGTTTAAAAAATTTGGACGGAAGGTCCGACATTGCAATGATCTAACTTATGGGGGACCAAATTGAAACAAAAATTTAAGGTGAAACTAAATTGAAAATTTAAAATATTATAAGGGACTAAATTAGTATTTTTGCCATTCTTATACTACTGTCTAGCTCAACATGTAGTCCTTGAGCCTTGAGTTGGTTATTTTGGGCCTAGTGCTTTGCCTCCTTCCCTGATCATAAGGATCTTCAGCCACCTATCCTTCTCCTTCTGTTTTTGCTATTTCCTCGTTTGCCCCTTTAGTATGTGGACTTGTTACACTGTGCTACTTTTTCACCATATATTATATGGTGCCTTATAAATTGTTGCTCCTAAAGAGTTAAAAAGATACAAAGTAATTGAGTCATGCTTTTAAGGATCTTTTTCTGGTAAAAATATCACAATTTACCCCCTCAAGCTTTTGGTCATGTGCCCTTTGGTCCTCGTTAACTGAGTAACATAATCCTTAAACTTTTTTCAAGTGTGCATTGTAGGCATTACATCCAATATTCCATCAAACATAAAAGAGAAACCATCACATTTGTTAAGCTTGAGTTTTAAGCCCATTTCCAATGGGCATTGCTAATGAGTTGCTTAAAAATAAAATATTATTTTGTATGCCACATGATTTTTCGTTGCTTAAAATTAAAGAGTTGCTTATCATTTGTGTCTACATGTAGGGGAGAGAATATGAGATATTGAAGAGAGAGAAAAATATTTCTGAGCTAAGCAAATTCTTTTTATAAGAACTTGTACTGTAGTAGAAATAAATAGGTTCCTTAGATGTGATGTGGCAATAGAGGATCCCATAAAGTAAAATAAAATAAAAAATGATACATGGCTAAACAACTTGCATTGTGGATGCTCTAAGTTCCCTTGAACCTAAGTTGGAAGGGATACAATACAACTGAACCTTTCCCATTAAGAAAATTGCAACAAAAACTGTTCACATGATTTTAGGATCAAAGTGCATATGACCCTTAGTTGGCAGGGTTAAATTGTACCTTTCCCTTTTCTATGCTTTAAATTATTTGTGTTCAACTTTTTTGTAGTTGATCTTGTGGAAGTTTGCCATCCAAAGAATTGCAATATTGGCTTACTATCCTATTCCCCACTTGGAGGTGGATCACTCACAGGAAAATATATAGATATAAATTCTGAAGCTGCAAAAAGAGGAAGGCTGAACCTCTTCCCTGGCTACATGGAAAGATATAACAAATCGGTGGCACGGGTGCGCTATATATAATTCTAGTTCTTGTATTTGTAGTTTAGACTATATTTTAAGATATGAGTATGTTTGGACAAGGTTCGCTACAAGAATTTATAGGGGGAAAAAATAGAAACAAAATTGAAATAAGTTTCCTCATAAGTTAAAACTAGCTTATTTATGAGTTAAAAATAAGATTTTGGAGAAGTTAATGACAATTTTTATAATTAGTTTATGCATAAGGTGATTTTAGTTTATGAAAAAATTTATTGTAATTTTCTTTCCTATTTTTTTTTGCTTAGAAGTGTTTCCGGATAAATTTAGCCAAATAGCCTGAGATGACAATACTTGAGAATCTCCCTTTCTTTTGTGGTTGGATTTCAGGAAGCTACTATTAAGTATCTTGAGTTGGCCAAGAAGCATGGTCTAACTCCTGTTCAGCTTGCACTTGGATTTACTAGAGATCGTCCATTCATGACAAGTTCAATTATTGGTGCAACCTCTGTGGACCAGCTAAAAGAGGACATTGACGCTTTTACGTCAACTGAGAGACCTTTACCAGCAGAAGTCATGGCAGATATTGAAGCTGTTTTCAAGAGATACAAAGATCCTACCATTTTTTAATGATTATACCTTTCAAGTTTACCATTGTGGCCAAATTACTGCTATTGATTCACCCTGTTCCCCATTCCTCTATTTTTTTTTTGTCATGATTAAAAATAGAGGATGAATAAAATGCATATTGAATTTTAATAAATACATTAAAACTAGGATTTACAGCAATTGTATGCATTCCTTACGTCAATTACAGAAATGTTATTAGGCCTTACATTTTTGTTAATCAAGTCTCTAGTACTATTTATTGGTAGTGGTTTTTATTGTTTAGATGACATTCTTACCTTTATTTAACCTCACATGTTATATGAAGAAAATATTCAATGCAACTGAAAATGAAAGTTGATATGACTGGACATTAGAGTGAGTCTTCTATTCTAATCAACCAAATTAATGAACACCTTATTTTCTGAACATATAATAAGACTGAAAACGTGTTAAACAAAATTTGATCATACAATATCAGCAAGGTTAATAGATATATGATACCTATCAATGCATTATATTATTTTTATAATATTTTTTACAGTATTATGTTTTTCTACCCGACTCTTCCGAATTTTTTCGACTTATTCCATACTTCTCCTTCATCAATCTTTATAGTACAAATTTATTGTGTAAATATATTTACTGTATGTAATTAAACAATTAAGAAATATTAACATTAGTCGACACAAGTGACCTGCTTGTATTCTTTAACTATATTGTTTAGGATTTGAATATTAGTTTTGAGTATGAAAAAGAGTATATTAGGAGGTAATAACCAACTTGTATACATATACGATCGTTAATGGAGATTAGTTGATATTTTTAATAGTGAATACTTTGTACTTAAACCATTGTTAAAAAAATGGTAATGAAATTATGAGGATTAAGAACTGGATCATTAAGGACTGAAACTACTCTCTTGTGTATACCCTCGGTGAGGGGAGCTGTTGTGGGGGTGTTTAGGTCATACTAGATGATATCAACTTCAAAATGGATTTTTGTTCAAAAATAAAATCTTATTAGAATTATCTAGTTCATCTTTTAGAACCATGTTACATCCTATATACGATGAAATAGAGTGAACTGAGATATTATTTTAAAAGTATATAATTATCTTGAATAAATTTTTTTTTTTTTATTTTTATTTTTCGATTGCTTGAAAAGAATAAGAATGTTCTTATAAAGATGGGTGCGTCATCTCCAAGTTAGTAAGAGATTTTGGAACAAGCTCCACGGGAGTTAGCTGGGCCATTGCATGTTGATGCAATGAGTGCTTGGTTCCAATGTGTTTAGTTGTTTGTTTAAAAAGTATTTGAAACTTCACCTCATTAAGTAAACATTCAATTTGGTCTCTGAAATATAGTGGAGGCAACTGTTAGGATATTTTGTGGCATCTATCCCTAAATTTTAATTCTGTTATATAAGTTATCATTTCATTATAATCAATTACTAACTCTGTTCCGATTGTAAGTCCATTAGCATCGTTAAAGTTATCACATTCAAGGTATTGTCCATTTTGGCACTCATAGAGCTGTCACGGATTTGTCCTTTAAAAGGTGCTTTGGTAGGTTAAAGGGGAGAGTGTTTATAAACTATCCTTAGTCTTGATTTTTGAGCGACGACAAACTTTTAGCCAGACCAAAACAAGCTCCCCAATCAAGACTAAGGGGTAAGAGTGGCTTGAGTCCTCCTTTTAGCACTAGTGTTCAAATCGTAAATCTGTTGACATCGTTAGAGTCATCGCTTTCGAGGTATTGTTTACTTTGGTACTCGTTGGAGCATTAGGATTTTGTCTTTTAAAAGGTGACTCAGTGGTTTAAGGAGGGAGAGTCTATTACATTATGTCTCAAACCATGTTTTATTCTTTGTATATATGATGATGACGATTATTAATTTTTAATTTTTTTAAAAATTTATTCCTACTAACCTAGGGTCTTGGATCCACCACTGACTCAAAAAATGATGAGGCAAGTGAGTTTATATTCACTTTAGGAAGTGCTATTATTTCTTAGAAAATCAACAAAACAAACATGTATATAGAATGATTTACAATGGAATCAAAATTCCTAATACTTTAACTTGCAGGTGAATAAGAATAATAGTTAAGAGGCCTAATGACTAATATACTATTATGGAACATATTTAAATCTTTTATATATCTTAATTGTGATTAATAATCTATAATTTGTGTGACTAATAGTTATAATGATAAGAAATGAAACATGTGTATGAGACATGGTTATGAAGAAAAGATGGACATTAGAAAGGGAGGTTGAATAGTGTTAATCAAAACTCAAGACTTTTTGCAATAATGAAGTAGTATTAAAAATCTTACAAGAGCAAACGAAGAGTTTAAAACAAAGAACACAGTATTTTTATAGTGGTTCATCTCAACCACTAAGACTATGTTTAGTTTTTGATCAACTTGATTAAGTTCTACTATCTTTTACAAAGATACAAATATTCTTTCACAAGCCACTTATAGTTCAACCTAATAATTATTTGACTTGACTCTTCAAGTAACTACAAAAGTATTCTCTGAACAACGAAGCCTCTCCGTCTTCAATAATTAAGTATTCTTTACAACAAAGCTTCTCTAAGCTACAATAAACAAGTATTCTTTACAATCAAGTCTTTGTAGGCTTCAAGTAATAACATAAAGTTAAAATTGGGAAATCACTTTTTGTTTTGTCTTCCTATCAAGATATGATACAACCAAATTAAGTACATAGCTTTTCACAGAAAGAATGAATATATATTTTTACAATGATTGTTCTCACTTCTTTTCGAATCTTCAAGCTTCTTTATATATATACTTTATGAAGATAATTGTTGCAAATCCTTAAGCATCTCTCACATGCTTGCTTTGCTTGTCTTCATCTTCCTTCCTTGTGAGAAGAGGTGTCCATTAGTGCATTAATTGTGAACATTAAATATATTTTACCAAATTGTTACTTTTTATCTAATTAAGGAGGCTACTTATCGCCTTTATGATACCAAATAAAAGGAATTATTGCATGTATTAGTCAAGAATGACTTTTTCTGAGACTTCACATGCTTCGAGGGATTTGCTTACCTTTTTTCTGATGCAAAACATGTCTTCATTCCTTTTTCAAGTGTAGGTATCGAAGAAGCTTTTTGTTCCTTCCGATTTATTAAGAAATATCATAGACAAATATGATTTGGTTATCAAACATCATAAATGATATATATTAAATGTATTTGTCTTGGATGAAGTAGTTTGACTAAGCAACTACACATCATCATAACCAATCATCTATATTGATTTGTCTTATAGTATGATCTGAAAAACTTTTCTCTAAAAAACATCTAAGTTTATTATCATTAAAATTGATACATTGAGGGATCCAAGACCATCTTTTGATCTAACAATGGTGTTGTCACAATTTTAATTAAAAATTGTAGTATCTCACACGATTATGTAAAAAGTGAGAAAAATCTTGTAGATCCTTTCACAAAAGGATTATTCATGAAATTGTCATGGATAAGTTGAGGTGGATGTGCTTAACTCCATGAGTGGAGGTGAACACTCAATTAGTGGTCAAACAAGCTATATGAATACTTCCATGCACTACATTTTTCACCCTATAGCATATGATAATGTTTCATATGAGGTTGAGCCATGAACTCTTAAAATATATGCATAGCCCTTGATATAAGTGGTGCTATAGAGACACACTTAATTTATCTACTTACGTGAGTGTGAAGGAATAGGTCACCTTCCATGAAATTTGATTATCTTTCTAGAATACTCATGAACAATCCAATGTGCAAATACATAAAAAGACCTAAATTATTGTATAAATTTTAAATCACAAAATTATCACGTTTTAAAGGTAAAAGTGTGTATTGTGGGGGTCTCATCTTAAATAAATCGAGTTTAAGAGTAATTCACTTTTTGGACATTCGAGTTGCCTCACTACACTATGTGTTATTTTAATCTTATGGACATTAATACTTAAGTACAAGAACCTTTCCTTGTCTAAAATGTATTCTCTCTCTTCACTTATATGCTATTAGTAAGGGATTGTGAAAATAATAACATATAAGTGTTAATTATTTCATTGTTAATATTGACATATTAATTGCTCTAATATTGTTGGTATATTAATTACTTTGTTGTTGTTGGTATTAAAAAAATTTCTTAAATATTTGCTAATGGATTGATTTATAGTATACTACATAAAGAGTGATATAGTGAGTCTTAGAACAAGTCTTGGAACATTGTAAGTTACACATTATTACTTTTTAACTTTATTCCTCTGAACATTGTTCGTAAATTCTAAAGTATTTTGATCTCGGGTGCACAGATTTAAACACCAAACAGTATAAACTTTGAAGAACAAATTATATTTTGTGTTGCACCAAAAATCTCTTTAAATTAATTTGCTTTCAAGATATTGTCTAATGTCACGACACATTATTTTTTACAAATATTTTCTAATATATAATAAATACTTAACCCGAAGAATGTATACACAAGTTATAAATACACAAATGGTTTTCTTAGTCTTGAGTTAGATGCATTTTGGAAACCTACAATATTTGGAAGTGACTGAATGCATACAAAATCGGTATTTCTCCCCATTAAGTATAAATGAAGACAGCTTACAAGCGGCGTTTATGTTGTCTCTCTCTTATTCTGCCTCAGTCCAAGTGCGAGAGAGTTAGTGTAAAGGATAAGCTGAAAAATCATGGCCTCTCTATGTTCCTTCACCGCTTCTTCTTTCTCTTCTCAATGCGACAACGTTTCCCTTTCTCACCCTCTCAAACCATCGTTGCCTCTCACCAACTCCTTCACACTTCCAAGGAACATGAAGAAGAAGAAGAG